ATTGTTCCTCCTCCAGTGGTTTACAGAGTGGATGTGGCCAGTGTCCAATGTGTGCAACGTAACGCGGAAGAAAAACTAACCTGAATGGTCAAAATTGATACCAACGTGCAATTATAATTTTTTGTTAAACATTTTTACACATACAGATGCAAGGCGGTGTACTTCTTTCGTGAAATGTTTAAATAACAGCTCGTGTAATAATTTAACAGCTCTTTATTACATATCAGAAAGTTTTCTACTATTTTTTAAGACTTCTGATGGAGTTGATCTGGTGTTAATTAACGGAGGGAGTTAGGTTAGAGGAAGAAACCGAAGAAGAACACACGCGCGTGACAAATTATTGGAACACGGTTTTTGAAGTGCATCGAACGAGCAACGAGAAGGATCCTCGATCATCTGCTGTTTCTAACGGAGACAATTTCCTGGAGGAATTGTCTGTCACGAGGTGCTTCGGTCGAGCAGTCAATTAACTCGAAACAGTCGCTCTGCGAATGTGGGTCATCCTTTATGAACGAGTAAATTGAACGCTTCGGACAAGCAGAAAGAAGAAGAACAATCGTTGCGTACAGTGGAGTTATTCGTGAGAAAATAAGGGTAATCGTTGCCCAGTCACAAGTTTCGTAGACTCTTGGACTTTTGCGTGTGTAATTTTTCAGTAGACGATCGAGCCTAAAGAAGTTTCTCTTACGTAACGTTACCTGACAGAGAGAGAGAGAGAGAGAGAGAGAGAGAGAGAGAGAGAACACGTGCTCCCGACTCCTGGTTTCAATCTTCATCCTTTTCCAAAATCTAAAACTTTCTATCTTTGATAGAAATGAATGGCAAAAGCAAAACAAAAAGTGTAACGATCATTGGGATGTATCTAACATCAAGTTGCAAGTAACTTCATTTTATCAATTGAGTTGACTTACACAGTTTGAAAAAGAAACTTTTTTTTTCAATTTTAATTTTGTAGAAGCTCAAAAGCTCAAGAAAAAAGAAACAAAAAATTAATGAGGAAGAGTTGTAAGAACTGAAGAAGAAGAGGAAAATTATAGGAAAAGTTCTAAGAACAGTTAATAAGAGTTGTAGGAATCTTTATGTATCATTGGATCAATGTCAATTCGAGGTTCTCGAATCTACGAAACGAAGAACGTAGAGCTTTGTACTTCAAAGAATTTCACCGATCAATCAACTTAATAGGAGAAGAAGAATATCCAGAGACTTATCTCTGTAGATGCACAAATGAAAAAAGAGAGAAAGAGAAAGAGATCACTAATTGTAAAAGAGATAGAAAGAGGAGAGAATCCTCTTTCAGTCTTTAAATAATCCGGTGATCCTGCGATAATTTTTTCCTCTTTTTCCTTCTCCTTCAAAAGGAGCGGAAACGCGCGAGCAACGCGAGGAATTCGAGGCGGAACGCTTTGGCATACGTGAACGTGTTTGTCGCGATTGGAAAGCGTCACGTTCGTTTTTCAACGACGATTACGTAATCGTGCAGTCGCGGAAAGGTAAACAGGCGGCGATTAATCGCGAGAGACGCGTCGCGAAACTTGACGAACGTCGTAACTGCGCCGACGGGGACTCGTGGAGACTATGAATTCGTTGCAAACGACTCCTGCAAACGCTGCACGCTTCGTTCGATAATCCTAGAGGATCGATTTGCATCGTTAAGTTGATTACGCAGATCGTTCGCGGTTTGTTTGACCCCGAGGAACTCTTGGAAGTCGAACGAGACTTCAGTTTGTGAACCTGGAAAGAAGAGGAGCAGAAGGAGGGGGACGAGGTGTTGAAATTATTTTCTGGCTTGCCAGTAGTGGCGAAGAGTGAACTTATTGAGGAGAGATACTGCAAAGAGTCTTTGAAGGAATATTTATAATAGACAAGCAGAGTGAGATACTGTTGAATAAGAGAGGAGTGAAACTATTGAGGAGAGACACTGCGAAGAGTCTTTGAAGGAATATTTATAATAGACAAACAGAGTGAGATACTATTGAATAAGAGGAGTGAAACTATTGAGGAGAGATACTGCAAAGAGTCTTTGAATATTTGTAATAAACAAGCAGAGTGAGATACTATCGAATAAGGGAGTGAAACTATTGAGGAGAGACGCTGCGAAGAGTTTTTGAAGGAACATTTATATAAAATTTAATATTTATAAAAGGCAGAAAGTGAACAAAGAAAGTGACAGAAATTAAATACCGTAAAAATATATTTCCCTTTGTCTGTGCATACAGTTATAACTCAAAGAAATTGAACTGTAAAAGAGACGTGTTTAAATTGGACTCGTTAAATTCTAATTCCGATACGTTTAAATTAGAAATGAATTGGTAATAGTGATACATAGCAAAGAGTGAAGAAGATATTGTGAATACATGTTTCTTTCTCTGTACAGTTATAGTCTGAGGAAATTAAACTGCGGCAAGACGTATTTGAATTGAACTGATTAAATTCTGGCCGATGCATTTAAATTGGAAATGAATTCATAACAAGTGGTACATAACAGGGAGTGAAGAATATTGAACACCGTGAATACATGTTTCCTTCTCTGTACAGTTATAATTCAGGGGAATTAAATTGCAATGAGACGTATTTGAATTGGATTGACTAAATTTCTGGCTAGATCCATTTGAATTGAAATTGAAATTGGCAATGAATTCATAATAGTAATACACATAACAGTGTGACTGACTAAATTTCTGACTTGTGCATTTAAATTGAAATTGAAATTGGAAATGAATTCATAATAATGTGGTGCGCAATAAAGGGCGTCTGTTAAAAAATTAAAAGAAATTAAAGCACAGGGAGATTACTGTACTCGGTGTACAATTCAAATTTTTGGAGAAGAATTGAAATTCATTTGGAACCGTCGAAGAGACACGAAGCACATTTTACGCAACGAGCAGCGGAATAAAAGGAAAAAAAAGTGGCACACCGTACCCGGCTCGCTTTCAGCTCACTCGCCTTCGTCTCGAGGAAGAGGCCGACAGGCGTGGGTGGACGACACGAGGCTACCAGTTGGTCCAGGTGTCTCGATTCGATCGCAGATCGTCGTTGGGATAATTACCGACATCGAGCCGCTTACCAATTAACCGAGAGCCGCGCGGAACAATCCGATCGTCCCCCGAGGGACGATGATCACAACCGCGAGCTGTCCAGTAGAGAGAAAAAATTCTCTCGACGATTACCGATTGTATCGGGGATAGTTATCTGCAATCGGGTTGCTGCAACTTTTTTCTTTTTTTTTTTCTCTTCCGAGGAGAAGAAAGATCACTGAAATACCGACAGCTCCGCGAGTTTCACACAGAGAGAGAGAGAGAGAGAGAGAGAGAGAGAGAGAGAGAGAGAAAGAGAGAAAGAGAGAAAGAGAGAGAGAGAGAGATGTACATTTCTTCTGTTCTTCTTTCAAGGTTCTATTAAATTAAATTAGAGGAAACTTTGGGCGAAGAATTCTTAATTCTCACTCTGAATCGAAGGATCGTCCAGTTAGAACAAAATGAAAGGAAGAGAGTTGTGAGGAAAACGTTCCTATTTGTGAAGATAATTGCTACAACGAAAAGTTTGACAAAGTCCGAAGAAAAATTCTAAACAGAATTGCTCTGGAGTTTAGTCTAAGTTTAAAGAAGAATTTCAACCAATTGTAAGTAGAAGAGGCATTCAGTGTTTCCAAAAGTTCCAAAGCTGTCTGTTGAACCTTTCCAGGTTGAGGGAACCACCGAGAAACTTCAAAATAGAAAAAAACAAAGGTGCGAGGAGACAATTCTCCTCTTCTCCCCCCCTCAACCAAACGGAAACGTGAAATCCGAGAATCTCCCATTAGCACGCTTGTTAGCATCCAGTTCAGGATTCGAAGAATTAGGACACGCCTCCGCTGTTTACGTCCCAGTCCGTTGCCCCGCCAGGAATTTGAATCGTTCCGTCGAACAACACGACAGAGAGCCATGAATATCCCCGGACACCGTGCAGTTTCTTCACGTGTCTCCAAGACAATTCGCCCCGACGAGGCGTCAGTTCTTTCTACGTAGAAAGATTCAGGAAAGTGAAGACTGCTTACACGTTAAGTGAAAATTTCTTGTGTCGTCGTCGATCATTGACCACCAAAAATGCAGAAGACTTACGACAGAATAACCGTGCCAAAGATAGTGATCTGCTCGAAATCGGCGCTGGAGGACTGCGTGGAGGCTGAAGAATGCCACAGGAGATCCTTGACGCAGAGGAGAATGACAAGGTCGAGGAGTAAGAGGCACTCGAGGCGATTTTCGTCGAGCATCGTCGAGCATCGTCGCTCGCTTTCCTCCTCGAGAAGCCCGTCGCCGCCGTGCTTGTCCTCTCCGTCGCAAGATCAGCCTCACAACGAGGAGAGACCTAAAAATGTTCCTCAGGATTCTGAGAGACGTAAATGCAATCAGGGATTTGAGACCGAGCTTGGCAGGGAGGTGAATAAAAGTGACGAGAAGCGGAACGACTGTATAGTGGAGAGACTGAAGAACAGTTTTATCGGATGCAAAGGCGAGGAGAGGAACAGTTTGAAGTTGAAAGAAACAGGTGTTTCTATGAGAAACAACTTGGAGATTGACTTGGAGCATAAAAGGAGTTCCAGGTGCAACAAATGTCAAAGTAACAAAGGGGACGAGACTTGTTTGGAGAGTTGTTCGGGGTACCAGCAGTACTTGAGGCTACTGGAGGTGCCTCAGGTGAACTTGGAATGGGGCGAGTGCAGTGGCGACGATTTGAGCTCTGAATGGGATTCCGATCACGCGGATAGGTCGAACGAGAGAAAGTCGCCGAAGGTAACCACCGGAAATGATGTTCTTTCGGACGTAACGAATTGTTCCTTCCTATATCGTTGGACAATAAAGTTTCCTTTTTTTTTTCTTCTTTGGAATGTGATTTCAAGTTGGGACTTTAAGATTTTAAGACTGAGGGAGTGCACTTAGTAGCAGGCTTATGAGAGAGACAAGATTAAAGGAGAGAGTTTTCTGTTTAATGAAATTTGATCTTGCGTTTTAATCTTGTTTCAGTCGTCAGGCTGGAGGAAACTGAGGAATATAGTTCACTGGACACCTTTCTTCCAAACCTACAAGAAACAACGGTATCCGTGGGTGAGCATGATTATTCTTGTGTTTCAAGTTCAATGTTAATTGAAATTCTGCGGAATTAATGAATTACAATTCGCGATTGTATCTTATGGACTTTTGTCTAGATTCTAATTAAAAATTCTATTAACAAACGGTGTGATTAATTATAATTGCTTAATTCTGCCATTGATTGTATCTTGTGGTCTTTTTGTCTAGAAACATATTAATCAAAAATTCTGTTAACATTAAAAGGTATGATTAATATTAAAAAGTTTCTAATTCTGCTGCTAATCCATACCTTGCAACCTTTTTATCTAGAAATATTCTGATTCTAAAATTCTACTAATAAATGCTCTAATTAACATTTAAACGTTTCTGATTCTGTTGAAATTTTAGGTACAACTAGCGGGTCATCAAGGGAACTTCAGAGCGGGGCCCACCCCAGGAACGATACTGAAGAAACTCTGCCCACAAGAAGAAGCTTGCTTTCGTCTGTTGATGAACGACATACTGAGGCCGTACGTTCCGGAGTTCAAGGGTGTTTTGGATGTAAACGATACGGAGGAAAGTAACGTTGAGGGCAACGAGGCCGGGGAGACCCTTCAGAAGGACAGCAACAGTGATAACGTGACCAAGAGGACCATAGTCTCCTCTTACTTGCAGTTGCAAGATCTTCTTGGAGATTTCGAACATCCGTGTGTGATGGACTGCAAAGTTGGAGTGAGAACGTACTTGGAATCGGAGCTCGCGAAAGCCAAAGAAAGACCCAAGGTATGACGTCAATTAACCTCTCAGCTACTGAACTATAGCTGCTGTACCACCTTCACGTACATTACTTTTCGAATTGTATGCCACTAGAGGAGTGGCTTACATTTAATTAAGGCTTGGAAATCCAAGTATAAATCACGTATAAATTTCATATCTCTATTTTATAGTGTTTTAATATTTCGTTTTCTAATATTTTATATTTAGTACTTCAATATTTCATCTTCTAAGCATTTGGTATTTAGTACTTTAATATTTTAGTATTTCTCGTGTCGTTTTAATATTCAATACGATCTTGTTACCTTTTTCACAGTTACGAAAAGACATGTACGAGAAAATGGTACAAGTGGATCCGTCAGCACCGAGCGCCGAGGAACGCCGGGTGCAAGGAGTGACGAAACCAAGGTACATGGTCTGGCGTGAGACGATCTCCAGCACGGCCACGCTAGGTTTCCGTGTCGAAGGTATCAAACTCGCCCACGGAGGCTCGTCGAAGGACTTCAAAACGACGAGGACTCGGGAACAGGTTTGTCAATTAGGCACCTGTCGATTAGAATTTAGGTTGGGATCAATGATACAATTTCATCAAATTAAATATCGAATTTCTAATTAATTTAGGTTACGGAGGCGCTGAGACGTTTCGTGGAAGACTATTCGCACGCCGTGCCCAAGTATATCCAACGTCTGAAAGCGATCAGGACCACGTTGAAGGCATCCCCGTTTTTTGCCTCGCACGAGGTCGTTGGGTCCAGCTTGTTGTTCGTCCACGATGCCAAGAACGCTGGCATCTGGATGATTGACTTCGCGAAAACGTTGCCTCTGCCTCAGCACTTGCCGAGGATCTGTCACGACGCCGAGTGGAAAGTGGGGAATCACGAGGACGGGTATCTGATTGGCGTGAACAATCTGATAGACATATTCCAAGACATATGGAATTCAGAGGGGACGTAATACTGTTACGATCATTTCCCCTGGATACAAGTTGACGCTGCGATGACGAGGATATCGAGTTGATCATTCTTGATCTTGCAAATGTAAATGCAAAAGCACCTTCTTTGCCCCTTTCTACGGCTCTACCACTTTGTACTTTTGTGAAATTGTGTACATAGATTGACGGATTTTTTTTGGTACGACGCGATATCCTCTCACGAGAAAACGGACCAAAGACACGGCGGCTCTCTGTTGCCGCCTAGGTATTTCGTAGTTAAGTCTTCCTATTAACGTAGAGACGACGCGCGAGAGAGAACTTCTGAAAGCAATAATTTAAATGACGTTAAGTAATAAGTTTTATTTATGCGCAACGCTCGCAAGAGTTCTTCTTGATACAAGAGAAAGAAGAAACGACGATGTTTCCTGATTTTTTTTTTTTTTTTTTTTTTTGTATTTAAAATCGTACCATGCATCTGTAAATAATTCGACACTCAAATACAAAAGAAACTTCACGATCACATGTGTTCTCATTTCAAGTGTTCCCCCAAACGTATAACGTTATAGCGTTGATCACCCCCATCAACGTGTCGAATAAACTGTGGACGATTCTTTTGCTTTTTTCCTAATTTTGCCAAACCTAAAAACAACGTGGTTGTGTACAACGTGTACGACCTTTTACTAACTTTCGTGTTTTCTTTTTTCTTCTTTTACGTTTTGCTTTTATCATACATATATAAATCGGTGTATTCCTCAGAAAAATCCGAACTACGGGAAATTAAAGTAAAGATTGGATAAATAAAGAGAGAGAAAGAGAGAGTGGCATCAATTTTGTCAAGGTGCGCTGTAGGTGTTGTTTCTCGATGATTGTGTCTGTATAGTCTGCTGCTGATTCCCCGTGGACTGGGACGAGGTTATAGTGGTTGGAGCAATGACTCGAGCGTAAACCGCCGCACCAGTGGTTTTCAACCCAGCCGGCGTTGGTATCACTTTCAAGCCGTGCAACGTTTTGATGTTGAGCAACTGGCTCGGCAAGATGATTGGCTGCTGCTGCGTCTGTTGCTGCGACGATTGCTGCTTGCCAAGCACAACGCTCCCGCTGCTGCTCACCCCGACTCCCACGTTTTTGTTGCCACTTGCCAAGACTATCGGCTTGCCAGCTAACTGAGCCGTCACCATTCGAACGGTTTGCGCCTGCTGCGGTTGCGGCTGTTGCTGCGTGCTAGCTATGATCTTCGACTGGCCCGACGAAGTCTGCGCTTGCGACACTACCTGAGAGTCGTCGCATCGAAAATCATCAGTTTTGGAAGCTGAGATTGGAAAAAGAACAAGAACGAAAGAATTACATACCTGATACTGAGTTTGTATGACCTGTTTCCCTTGTCTGCCGAGTTGATTTGCATGGCTGGTCGTCGTTGCCAGTTTCAGCCCCTTCTGCGCGAGGAGATTTTCCACGGAGATGAGCTGCCCGCTGCCGGAACTCGTTAAAACCTTCGCCAGTATCTTCTGCTGTTGCTGCTGATGCGGTGACTGTTGAATCTGCACGGCGATCGGCTTCCCTCCAATCTGAGCGATTATGCGCTGCATGCCCGACGTTTGTATCGATTGTTGCTGATTGGCAACGACTCTCTGTTGGATCTGCTGCTGCTGCTGTTGCTGCTGAAACAACGCGAATACGCTGGATTATACACCAACGAAGTACATGGTAGAAATAGTATGAAGTAGAAATTCAACGAATTTCGCACCTTCAACTGTTGTTGTTGTATCTGTTGCGACTGATTGCCAGATGGTGACGATTGTTTGATGAATATTGTCTGACCTTGAAGCCCGTGACCCGTGAGGAGCGATTTGATTTGCCCAGAGCTGACTAGTTTTATCTGAGAGGCTAGCAAAGTTTTTCCAGGCAGCACGTGCTGCTGTTGAGACTGTTGTTGCTTTATACTAGCAGCCTGCAAGATATTCTTTCCAGCTTGATTGGTCATTATGGTTTGCTGCTGCTGCTGCTGTTGCTGCTGCTGCTGCGGTTGTTGCGATTGTTGTTGTTGTTGACTCGGTAGCTTGGTGGGTGGCAATATCGTGGTTAAATTGGTCGTAACGTTCGTCACGTTGGAAGTACTGTTGGCCACTACAGATTGAGCAGAATGCAGCACAGAGTGCCCGGACAATCGAATAGTCTGCAGACCAGCGGACGTTGACACTTGAATCTGATGATGCGGGAAGTGTTGCTGGTTCGATTGCAGCAAACTCTGGGCACTGGTTTTCACAACAGCGACCGGTTTTCCACTGATGTTCGTTGCCTTCTTCGCTGGGACATTCGCAGTGATTTGCGGTTTCACGTCCACGGTTGTTGCCATGTCCTTCTCCACGGTGATAGTACTGATAGAGGTAGAGGAAGTCGGGAGGGACGTGACCGGCACTGTGGCCCCCGACATTGAAATTACCGAAGTCGTTGGCGTGTTGATCGTTGTCACTATGTTCGTGATCACAGCGGGTTGTTCCGTAGTAACGGAATGATCGTTCATGTTCTTCTCCTCGGTTTTCTTTTGCTCTTTCCTGCAAAGAAAAAAAGACACGTGCAATCAAAATATTGTTTGAAACTTTCCTCGCAAGGAACGTTTGAAATTCACCTCGAGATGACAGGTTGGATAGCAGACGCGGTTTTCCTTTCTTTTTTGGGTGTAGCTTCTTTATTATTGCTCGGAGACTGTTCTTTGTTGACACTAGTAGGTTTTATCACTGGGGGCAGTGCCTTTCGAGACATACTACCGCCATTCTTCTTATTCTTTGCAACACCTTGCAACTGTTGATGGTACATTTCTGCAAAGAAAGACACAATGTAATCTTCAACGTATAAAACGCAAGAGATGTAATCTCCAAAAACGCCAAAGCAATGTTTTCAAGTAGATACAAACCAAATTCCGATTCTGAACGTGCTCGATGAAGGTAGAGCCATTCCTTGCGTCGTGGATAATATCGTACGCACGGATCCGTTTCGTAGTGGAGTCTGTCTAAAGCTCCAGACACTACAGAGTGCAAGTATCCTTCCTTGTCGTCACTCTCTGTCTGCTCCCTAATGTACTGAGAGTCTTTCAGCAATTGACAAATATCGGCTCGGGTTCCTTCACCGTTAGGAAGTCTTGCAGTGGCGTCTCTCACTAAGGCTAAAATCGTCACAAAGTTTGGCCGATCCGCCACCAGCAATGAGTGTCCTCGAGCTTTGGTTAAACCAGAGGCTGAAAATGAAAATAAAATTAAAGTAGAAATTAAATAAAATGCAAATAATGACCTGTCTGATTGATTTCTTTAATCTCTTAACTGTGGTGCTGCTTTTAAAAGTGCGTATCATGTCAAATACAGAGTATGTGCAGCTGCTGCTAAAATTAAATTAAATTATAAGGAAACAACACTAGTGTTTTCTTTTGAAAAATCAATAATTTTATTGTTTAACTTAATTAATAATCAATAGCAAGAAAATATTTATAAACGATGTAAAAAAAGAACTAGTCAAGTCTAGTCTCAAAATATTCTAAAATCTTTAAAATTTGCAAATAAGTTTTATTTTCCACAAAAAATTTAATTCAAGTAACAAATTGTAATCGAATCGAACGTACCAACGTTATGCTGATAAATGCCTTTCACCGGACCCACGACAGAAGCATAACCGTGCATTCTGTACGTGAACGCTTTGTGAGGTGCAGCGTAACGCATACGTTCTTGCCTCCTGAACTCTTCTCGTTCTTCCATCGTGGACGCCCGAACTTTCCATTCGGTGGGCCAGAGAGCGCGAGGTGGCTCCCATTCCGCAACAGTGTTGACAGATGCGCCATCGACGTTGATCGACTCCATCGCCGGACTGCTGCTATCTCTGCCGCTCGAATTTGCGTTTCCACTTGCGGTGTTGCTGTTAACGTTGCTGCTGCTGACCTGAGGCGCTTGATTCTGTTGCTTCACGGCGACCAGACCGAGCGAATCTTTGTGCATCAAGAATTTCGCGCACAGGTCAGACAGACGAGAGTCCGAGTCTCGCCCGGCACCGATCCACGCATAGACCCCGCTTCCTTTGTTCTCTAAGTAAGGGACAAGCTCCGATTCTTTTTCCTGTCGGTCGCTTATGTCCTGAGAATAGGTGAGCTCACCGGCAAGGAATCCCAAAGCTAGCGGGACCAGTGCTGGCCAAGAGGACGCCAGGGAGTACCAATCGTTCAACGGTGAAATGGGATTCCCTTGCCACTGGGTGACAGCGTCCTTCATTTCCCCGGCGCTCATTCTGTACTCGCCTTTCGAAGTGAACGCATCTCTCAGCAACGAGAAGAAACAGGAGTGTGTCTCTTGCATCAATTCCGCCCCGCTGTTCATGTCCATGGCATCCTCGTTCGACGGGACAGCAATCTCTTTGTCAGGTATCGATATAACTCCCTCGTCCTCGCACTTCACATCGTCCAATATATCAATCCCATCGTCGAGCTGTATAGGGAGCTGCATCATGTCGATGCTGTCCAAGTCGAGCTCCTTCTTGTCGTTCTCTTCCTCCTCCTCCGTTTCCAGTGGCGGGTCCTCGTTCACTCCCGTGCCAAGCTCCGTTTTTATATCGTCGTACTCCATGTCCTCCACTTCCTTCTTTATCTCTGGAGCGGCCATCATCGACGTCTTGCCAACCTTCAACGCAACGGGGCTCAGCTTCTTCTTAGACATCTGATGCATCTCGTACGCGTCCATAGGCTCCGACTTGATCGGCGTCAGCATTCGGTGATCCATATCCAACGCGTTGGAATGTCTATTCTCGTCCGTCGTGTGAGAATAATCACTGTTGTCGCTTTCGTGTTTTATCGAGTTGGTTAATCTCGGCGCCGGTGGACAGAGCGGCGAATGCTCCAGCTTTATCCGTTTCTTCGCCGACGTGATGCGTATGGCGGGGCCGAGCGATAATTTGTGCTTCTGTCCGATTTGCGCTCGTTGAGTTAAATCGGCAAGAGCGATGCCCTGCGTATTCAATTCCGGATGAATCTGAGGGAACACGATAAACATTAGTACATCAATGTCGTTAAATTTTCTATTCGTATAAATTCGTTTAATTTTACGTACGTCGCGCCGTGCTCTTCTCTTCTTGTGCTCGAGCAACATCTCGCGGTACATTTCCTCCGTTTGCTCGCGTACAAACAGAGACCTGTTCGCCGGATATTCCGCCCGCTGCAGCGTGGAGAAAACAGGCCGGATAGTCTCATCCTCGTGATTTATTTGCAAACCCCGGATGGACAATCCCTGAACCCCCATCAAGGAGCGTTTCTTCTTCTTCTGCTTAGCGCCGGACAACTGATAGTGCGGATAGTTCTCCTCGTTCTCGGACGTTGTGTCGGCCGCTAGCTTCGCGCTCGCTCCGAGTTCTGTCCGCAGTGCATTCAGTTCCTCCAAATAGCGCAGTTGCGTTTTCTCTTCAACTGTCGGTTCATTGCTTGTTAGTATTGTCCCTCGGAAGTTACTACATACTTCTCTGCCAAACGGCTGGAGTGTGGGGGAAGTATAAACAGCCAGAAAATTTTTTACAATCAGTCGCAGCGTAAGCTTAACTTACCCATAGCAGGTTTCGGCTTCCTCCATTGGATTTTCGACACCGTTCGTTGAGCCGGTTGACAGAAACCCTGTTTATACGCATTGTACAGCAAGCTCTCCCTTGACTTTAGTAATTGACTGGCCAGCTCGTAAGATCGTTTCCGCTCCTCGAACAACAATCTTCTCTGCTGCGCTTTGCGAACCAAGCTGCACATTCTTCTGATATCCGGTCGGTAATGACCGGCAGATAGGTGACTACGAAATGCGTCTAAAGGCGCTACGCCGAACCTAATATAGACAAATTGAAAATAAACAATATATAAATATAAAAGACGATACTTTACTTTCGAAAGTTTGTCAAAGACGATTAATTCTCCCTAACCTGTGATTTTCACGTTCGAATAACATACGCAGTGTTTTCTCAGTTTCAGCTTCCACATCGCAATCCTTTGGGAAAACTGGCAGAAGATTACAAAGGGTCTCCCTTTGACTTTCTGTAAGGCATTCGTTCCAAATGTAAGGGTAATCCAAAAACTCTTTGAAAATGGCTGAATGTTCGCAGAGATCTTGCGGCAGTTTTATCTTGGTGTTTCCAGCGATGCACGTTTCCCATTTCTGGAAATGAAGTTCTTGTCAGCAAACATGTATTTTCATGTAATTTCATATAAAAATGTGAAATCTCAGACCAAAGTATCCGGACTCTCCGCTTTGACAGAATATTCTGTGTTGTCATTCTCTTCGTCGTCCTCTTCGCCAGAACTGTGGGTCTCACTGCCGCTTGTACCTTGCTCTTCTCCGCTGTCGTCTCCACTGTCGGTCGAAGTACTGCTTCCACTAATGCTGCTGCTACTACTGTTACTTCTGGATCCACGAGAAGATGCATCATCCTCGTCTTCTTCAGCCCCGCTGTCACCACCAGCTGAACATTCGTCTACCTATAGTCACAATGTTCGCATGAAAACAGCAAAAACAAATGTTATACGTATATTGGTGTTTTAGAAAAAAATCAAGTAGCAGTATTGTATTTGGGGAGTCACTCTAAGTTCAGGTATAATATACGTGTACTAAAAGTAGCGTTTAAACTAATGACTTGTAAACGTGAATTTATATTCTAACGATCATTTATCAAATTTTGCCCTAACAATCATTTCATTCCAAAAATGCACTCTGCGTTGTTTGCACTAGTTTTTCATAAACCTTCAGTTACAACGATAGTTACAAACAATCCAACGTTCACTCCTGGTTGAAATTGAGTAAATGAAACAATGATTATCTAAAAAAGAAAAAAGAACAAACGAGACAAGCATATGATACATGTGATACATGTAACCTCTTTGTGACCCATCAAGCATACTGATTCCAAGTTATTTGGTGTACTTCTTTGAACATCCTGTGTTTACAATTTTCACCAAAATTAAGCTGCTCTGAAACACGATTAAAAAAAAATCTACATTGTCGCCTATACACTCCTACAGAAGCATGCAAAAATTAATGAACAGCGACGATGATAAAAGGAAAAAAAAAAGAGAACAGTCGCTGCCATACGACGGTAGATAATACGCGAGGAAAATACTCAATGTGCGTACGTGTGTTCCCGATTACTCAATTAGGCGAGGAAAAAAACAACAAACAAGGACAAACGTTCTCGTTTTCGGGGACGCAACGCGAACACGCAGAATAACGTGCTGTCGCATATTTTTCACAGGAGACACAGTGCTATCGATCACGTCGGGCATCAATTTTCAGGATTAACTTGACCGCGACCAACCTCCATTCCTTTTTCAGTTTCTGCGCTTGCTCTTCCCGTTCACGGCCTGAGTCCTACAGCTTCCACGAAAATAACAGACCACGAAGCGGATGCTTGGCGTTCTTGGGCAATAATTCACTGAGCCGAGAAACAACGAACCGATGGAACACGATAACCTGTCAGCATCACGTTATACGAGAAATCATACGGCCCGAATGGACATTAAGTAATTTCGCTGTTCGCTGTTTGACCTGTCACAGCTACCGCACTCCTACTCTTCCAACAAATTTTAGTCATGGCGTGGAATACCAGCGAGCAGAACCACGGTGTTTATTGTATATTGAAAGATCCCCGAGCGCACACCTTCCTCACCGGTTTAGAACCGTTCTCGTCCGTCCAATGGCGGACGCTTTGCCGACCGATGCGAACGCGGTCAACACCGAAATGCGAAAAACGGACGGCGATTAACGAGACAAGGGCGAACGAAAAGTCGGAGATCGTTTATCTCGCGTTTAACCGCCGTTGTTCGTTGTATTTTCTTTCGCGAAATTAAATATTCGAAGCGTACGAAAAGCACGTCTAGTAACATTTGTCGGCTGCGCGCACGCACCGTTGGTAGCCATGTTAGGAGGGAAAATTTGAAATGGAATCGTACAACACCATTGGACGACGCGACTAGAGTTTTATTTTCACACGGGTAAGAAGATGGATGTTTCGTTTCTGCATTGCTTTTTTTTATTAGGAGAAAATATTGAACAAGTGAAAAACGAACGAGTAAATATATATATATATATATATATTAATTAAACCTGAAGACTGTGTGTGTATTACCCTGTATAAATTTCAGAAAGCTGTCTGTTGCTTTAAGTGATTCGTGTACAGTAACAAATGAAATGAAATTATACAGGTATCGAGCTACTTACATCAAGGATAAATAATTTATACTTTTGTTAGCTTAATGCGAGAGTCGTTACAAAACCTACCTTAGATATTCAACTTTTGTACTTTTTAATTTGTAATTCTAATTCTCTAATACGATAGAATACGATATTTACGTTTACAATGTTTTTCTTCTGTAATATATCTTTATATATCCATTCATGTTAATGGTATTTTGGTTATACAATTAAAAATGACCTGTTGTGGTTACGCAATGATCTGTCTCACTTCAATATCCAACTATGAATTATATAAAAGTAGTAGGAACTTTACGGAATGTGTAAGTAACAACTTAGCGAACTCATTTTTTTAAGACGAGGCATTTTGATTAGCGTTTTGTGCTACCCCGTTGCAAGGCGTCTCCGTCGGCACGGACAACACCGGTGTGTATTGCATGTAGTGTGGTTGACCAGCAACAGCGTACCAGTGTTCGGGTACATTTTGCGGCGGCATGTTGAACGGAGTTGGTGGGGGACACAAGTACGGCGGACATACGCCCGCGGAGTAAGCCTGCGTATAATCCATTCCGGGACATAGATGCGGCGAGAAGGATTGCATGTTGTTGCTGTCGTATATATCGGAATGCGGTAAACACGGGATCGGTATGAAACCTGGATTGAGAGAATAGTAAGGGTTTGCAAATGCATCTGTCTCGTTGCCGTAGTACGGCAGCCCGGGATACATGCCTTGTTGCATGTACGACGCTTGGTAAGCGTTCATTGCATTCGCAGGTGCGTGTAACTGCTGATGCATCGAATGTGGAGACTGAACGTTCATGGTATTTTCTTTCGTATCTCTCTCCAACTTGGAGAGTTTAGAACTCGATCCGTTGCTCAAGTACTGGTTGGCAAAATGCGAGGAGGATCGATATCGATCTGCGTGAAAGATGAATATTTATTATACAACAGCGTACGCGCATGCGAAACGAGTTTTTTCGGCGTTTTTATTACTTACTCTCAGAATTCTTCTTAAAACGTGGACCTAACCCATTTCTACTGAAACGGGAAGATTCCTTGTTTGCAGATTCCAATTTATTGTCACGGGATGAATACGAAGACGTTTCTTTCCCGTCATTCCCTTTTTGAACTTCGGTCTTTTGAATCTGCACGTTTTTGGTATCATTCGCATATTTGTCTCCATTTTCCTGGGGCAGTAATTGCACCCCAACCTCGTTCTGGTCGCTGTTTGGTTCCTTTTTTTGTTGCGTTAGCGTACAATCTTGGATCATGTTATGCGTGATGTTTGTAATTTCTTCTTCATTTGGAGATGCTCCTTTTCGATTAATAAATAAATAAACAAATATATGTGCGAAATTAATATAAAAAACATACAGACAATATACCTTGATACCACTGTCCAAAATTGGGCGACTGTCCATTTGTTAAATAATTCCAATTGGCACCACCACGAAAATACTATAACAATAGTTTGGAACGAATGAATGACATGTAGTTGTGATTTTGTAACAATTGTACGATTCTTACCTCCAATCCTAAATTGTAAAAAAATCTCAAAGTGAATGGATCTACAGGGATGTAAAAAGGATTATTTATAAATTTCATTATCAAGTCATATATACAAAAGCAATTCGTATTATTACCTGAGAGTGGTAAATCACTGCCATTTACATCAATACTCTTTTGCACAGAGCAATTAATAGAACGCATGTCTATTTGGGCATTAGAATCTCCTGCAATATTAAATGAAATGATTCACTGCATAGAAATGGCAACGACTACATAGAATAATTTATGTGATTTTTAATTATATACCAGCATATGGTGAATAATATATTTCTTTCTGCGCTCTCTGTTTTGAATATGAAGCGGCATTATTATCATTTTTCATTGGACTATCCGACTTCGAATTTCTAATAAAATTATTTTCAGGGTTTTTGTGTGAGAACGAACTTTTTTCTTTACGTTCTTTATTATTTTCTTGCCTCCCAATATCCATTGTAGAGGACTGAGTGTTATCAAGAATCATTCTTGAAGGAAACATTTCAACAGAATTCTATGAAACAAAATATCTCGTAATAATAATTTATATATATTTGGATAATTTATATATATTTTACAGTAATTAAATGATTCTTTATAGCTTACATCAATTGAATAATTGGAACATTTATCCATTGAATAATTTTCATATTCTTGATGATCCATTTTCCTACAATGAAATAAATAAATGTTTCATTTGCGATAAATAAAATGAAAATTTACTAAATAATTAACATAACGAGCTCTACTTACAATGATACTTCTTTCCATTGAAAATTATTCCCGCTAATGTCATTGACAATATTACCATTGCTTTCACTTTTATCAATATTACTTGATAAAATATTCATATTAGCAGAGTCTTTGACTTTGCGAGATGATGTTCCACATGCTTTTTTCCATTTTTGATCTATTATAATGAAACATAAATATTTAGAAGATGAAAAATTTAACTAGAATATACTAACTTGAATCTAACAGTAGATTCTTTCTAAATACTAACTTGAATCTAAGAGTAGATTCTTTTTGCAAATCGGCAACCAATTGGCTTGTTTATTTTTTTTGGGGGGCAACGGCTTAAGAGCTGAATATGGCACAATTCTCTTCTCTCCTAACTCTTCAATAAAAACTAACACGGGTCCTTGATTTTTACTCATTTCTTGAATATGGCCATAATAAAATACCGAATCATTGCTTTTCTTTTGCAATAATTTTATATCATTGTCATTGGAATCCTTCTCAAGAGATGACACGTAAACGTTATTATTATTGGTTTTGTCAAACTCTTCCTCATTAAAGTCCACTTGTACTAAACATTTGCCACCAATTTGGAGTTCATGACTATTGTGCCTAGTCCATCCTGCATTTTTCACCTCTAAAATATGTCAAGTGATTTGTTTTCCTCCTTTGAAATTATGATACATTTTGATAGAAACAAATTTCTACTACCTCGTCTAATTTCGTGCCATATATCAAAGTCAGTATTACGATAGATATTAGGATCAAGAGCTTTGGCAATTCTATAAGGGAAAGGTGGTATGTTCTTTACAACAATTTGTGTATCATCAACCTCCTCAGTCCCACTGTCAATCTTGTTATATATCTCTGCAGCCAATTGACTAAACATAAATAAATTGTATTTGCACATTTTGAACTATGCGTACACCAATGATGCAACTATTATCTGACTTACTCTCTAATTTCTAGATTGTCTTTAAGGAAAAACTTATCGTGTCTAAATGTAGCTGATCTATCATGTAACATTTTATGGACTGTTGTCTCTATGTTAGCCATTTTAAACACGTCTTTATATAATACTTGATAAACAATAGCTACAAATGATTTTTAAAATATTCATTATCAACATATAAATGTAAAAGAATATTAAGAATATGCAAGACACATACACTGACAGAAAGCAGCATTTCCAACAAAGTCTTTTGTATAAATACTTTCATACTGTTTTTGTGGCGTATGGCACAAGTATATCACATCTTTAAAACCATTATTTGTAACATTTTGACCAGCTTGCTTTTGTCCATTGAAAATAATAAATTCTCGTTTATAAAGTAACGACATAGCTTGGATCTCAGTCATACCACCCCATTCCGTAAAACACGCCATTTGTTCCAAATAATCCTCGAATGGAATTAATATATTCTACAAAGCAACATATATTAACCGAAATGTTCATATTACTATTGATGATTAATGAAACTGATCAAGCTGTTATAACCACCTCTGTGAATAAGTGTTTCATTTTTTTCATGAATTCTACACATTCTTTTCTAACTCTTATATGATAATGCTGCGTCATGTAGACTTGTTCGCTAACTGCTCTGAATAAACAAGTTGGATCTCTAGGTGCATGTTTCCTGAAATATCCTTCACTTTGTAGCCATTCGTCAATAGGTTCTTGAGTACGTTTCAATGATTTTCTGGGTGATATTTCCATCTTTGGTCACACTGAAAAAAATAATGGAACAATTTTCTCTCTCGTTGGAAATTCAAATACGCGCGTATTCTCGACAAACGTGAGGAAATAATGATCGTGAGCAACCATTTGAATGTTAAATTCCGAAGATGTTCTTTTTTTTCACCGACTCATGACAATTTCCATTATTGGATAAGCATGAAAGGACGTTCTTGTCTATCGTTAATCGTGAGTTATTGCACAGAGGAGGGAAAAAATTGATTGTAAACAGAATTATACCTGCTCGAGGACGAATGATTAATGCGTCGAAGAATTTCTTCGGATCCAAATTGTCAGTCTCACAGAAATGTTTTTAAATCGCGCAACGTAACTGTTACTTTGTAGCTAGAGCCATAGCATGGCTAACAAAGGACTAGCAACAGGTCCTCCTCATTAACTTCGCATTAGAACCGATTTCTCTAAGACTATTGGACGAAAAGATTTCGGCAGCCAATCATGACTCGTCGTTCAACACTTTCCGATCTGTTTTGTTAGGAAAGGACCCTTACTATACTGAACATGTGAATTTTCTTTGTTTGTACTTTCGCGCGACTGTTCAAAACTCGTATTGCGCAATATACGCTGTAGTAAATAACTGTATTACATATTAGTTTTTTTTTTATATATAAATATCTTTTATATATAAATTTAATTAATACAAAATAAAACAACAGGTTTGAATATATCATAAGACTTCTTCTTACAAATTACTTTTTTTTATTCGTCATGATTTTCATCGGAATGACAATGCGACGTGTACGAAATATTAAAAAAGTACAATAGCCCGTTATATAAAATATGATTTTTACAGAAATATAAGATCAACCGCTGTACCATTGCGATATTCTGTAACGCATGCAATGCTACCAATTTTGTTGCTATCGAAAATAACGTTTGCCTGCGTGCAGCTTTTTCTTAGTATAAAAAGTACATCCTTTGGCGAGTTAGTGTTAAGGACGAATGTCGATGCAAGCTCAAACTTTTTTCAACGCTGGCAATAGTTAGGAATCAAACGAATGGCTGTGTGCGTGTAGTTTCATCGCATCTTACATTTTTCTTTCTTTCTTATTCTTTTTTTTTTTTTTTAATTGAATTTGAGCCTGAACCTACATCGTCGTTCCGTTGTTAATAGTTTCGTGTAAAAGTCGACTTGCACGTCTCGCCGAAAGGGACGCTCATGGCGGTAGGATAAGTATAATCATAAGATTACATTAACACAGTGTTTCGCATTCTCCTTTTTTCTTCTCGGCAATGTATGAGTAATTGTTATAAAATGTCACGATATAGAAAATGGAAGAAATGACGAGTCGCTGCTCCCTTTCTTTTCCGTTCTTTCCGTTTATGAAAGCTTCTCTTTTAAGCAGCTATTTTTTCTGCGTCGATTGCTGAAACAAAGAACATCGTTCCAGTAAAAAGAAAAAAAAGGGGGGGGAAGGAAAAGCTTTGGTCTTTCAGTGAAAATATATCTGTTCCAAATTTTTTGGAACTCACCTTCTTTGGTAGGCAAGGGATTTTTCTCAAGCGTTTCCGCATGTTTCAATTTTGCGGGATTGAAGTTTTCAATGTCAGAAATCAACTCTTGTTTTTCTTTCTCCTGCTGGATCACTGTGCAGAACAATTTTGTCTCGTTAATTAATTATTATTTTACTTTCTAATATAAGTTTTATTTATAATAACATTTTCTTTACTTCTAAATTGCAATTTCTTTTAAAAGATACACGAAAGATAAGAATGTACAGAGATGAATGAAACATGATACTGTACCATCCATGTCAGGTAGGAAAATCTTCTCTTGAGTTTCGGTGTGCTTCAAACTACTTGGGTCGAATGTCTCGATTCCTGACATCAGTGTTTGTTGGGTCTTCTCCGCAGCTACATCTGCAAGACGTAAACCGAGATTTAAAATACAGGACACGAAACACGTGACGAGAAAATTATGAAGTACTGTCACCGTGAAAGTGGAATCGCACCCAACTACACATCTGATGATCTCATCGCAACAACTACACCATTACAAATTATTTTAAAAACAGTTCAGTCGCCAAATTTTATTCAAATTACAAGTTTCTCGTGGAGAATTACATTATTAATGTAGTTGTATACACTGTTTTTAAATAGTTCTCTTTAGCAAGAAAGATGGAAAGCCTTGTTACTGCGATGTTTCAAAAATGTTTATCACCAAACGAACGCAACGTCGTGTTGTGGACTATCGACAACCTAATACCAGATATGCAAAACAGTTCCTTCCAAGGCTGAAAGCGTAAAGTAAATAAGCTTGGTTTTGTCGCGTATGTTGGACCACGCTGAAGCACCAAAAGCAAGGAAACCACTCTCCCCTCTTGTTCCCAAAAGTCCAAAGTAGAAGCAGGAAAACAAAGGATGAATTTCTCCCCTAGAGAGAACAGACAAGTCTTGGGTGATATACCTTTGGCATTGGGCAATATGATCTTCTCTTTCGTATCGGCATGTTTCAATTGGTCTGCTTTAAATGTCTCCACATCGTGGATTAATTCAGAATGTTGTCGTTCCTGTCGCACGTCTATATATTACAATATAACATGCATTACAATCATTTGAAAAGAAAAAAGAAAAACGATGAAATTATTAGCATTAGTGCTCTGTATATCTGTAAGTTACAAAATAACGCAATCGTTAGAGAATCGTACCGACACTAGAACAACCGGCCTTTGATACGTATCAAATTCTACATGCAACGTTATTCTGATTTAAATGACAACGATTAAAATAAATGGATTCATACGATTATGTTTCCGTCCAAATAGAAATTCACATTAATTTTGACAAAAATACACACACGTATCTTCTAAGCAATTACAAGAAAAAAGAAACGGAGTTTTTGGTTGTTCAAGTGTTAACCCGGGATTACCCACGTGAGGGTCTAGTCGCCGGGATGTACCTGCGCTAGACCCCCAGGTGGGTAATCCCGGGTTAAGGCGCAAATAAGAGGGAAAATTTTGCTTCTCGGGATGAGTTTACCTTCGGCGGAAGGTAGAACGTTCTTCTCAGCAGTCGCTGCTTTCTTCATACAGCCATGATTAAAACCTTCTAGCTCGCTTTTCAAGTCTAAGGCTACTTTTGGCAGGTCTTTCAACGACGGATTCGACATGGTGATGTGTTGTACTCTTTAATCTGAAACAAGCAAATAATTTTTGGTACTTTGTAAACTCCAGACTACATGTTATCATAATTGACTTGACGATGTGTAATAATCATGTAATCTAATAGTAATAATGTAATATTATTAATGATACAATAATATAATATTAATAATAATATAGTCATATATTATAATTGTTAATGTAACCTCGACAGGTTACTTGCTAACGACCGAAAACGTTATAAACGAACACACAACAATCTAAAGAGTTGTACAATTCTGCAATACGAATTATCCGTCTCTAAACTAGAGGTGACAATATTTTTATTTGTACTTTGCCACCCGCAGAGAGTTTCGTTTGATTATCAACGCTCAGAAGGATTTTCAATTGCAAAACTGATGTCAGTCACAACTAGAATCGCGATCCGAAATGAACTGTCGAGTTTCGCCCGCGATATGTCTTTGTTTACCTGTTTGTCTGGTTGGACAAAAGTAGCCGAGAAAAGACCTATGTGTAACAAAAAAAAAAAAAACAAAAAAAAAACGGAATTCAATTATTCGTAAAACATTTCCAAATTTTGAACCAAATAGATGATATGTAATATTCTTTTATAACAGGTTTTATAACAAGTTTTATAAAACGTGTAATAAGCATTAAGTATTGTAAACATTAATAAGTATTAACAATATATATATTTCATATTATTATGATATATAATATATTATATATTAACAAATATTAGTATTAAGTATTAATAAGTATTACAAGTATTAGATTGTTCGAAAATAAAAAAAGATATTTAACAAAGGTTAGGATTTTGCCACCTGTAATAAGATACTATTTTTATGAAATGTACACTTGCATTAAATATCAAAATATTTCATACACGTGTAATGTACATGTACATACCTACACATCTTCATAAGCAATAGTACATACATCGCTCTAAATCACAACACTTGCTTCAACTTGTAACCTATTTTCTTTCTTTGATTGTCTAAACGACGGTCGAGCGTTGAATATATTAGAAACAACGAAGAAATATGAATCAGCAAGTGTCGTTTCAACTATTTCTTCTTCTTCTTTTTATTATTATTATTATTTTCTGAACAATGACAATCGAACGTAAGATACGTATACTGGAAACAACGAGAAGTAAAAATCTGCAAATATGAAGCTTGAATTTTTAACCTATTTCTTTCCTTTTCTTATTTTCTGAACGATCGACAACCAAGCGTCGGATATATCGGAAACAACGAGAGGTATGAATCTGCAAGTGTCAGCGAACGCGTCCGGTTCATTGTCATCGTGTTACCGAGAAACGAACGAAGCCTGCGTATACACAAACGCGCGCAACACGCGTGTTCGCATGTGCGCGACTATCGGCCGATCGAATGCTTCTCGCGATACTTTCAATGCGTATTGGCAGAAACGTCGGTACACGTACAGGGTGTCCCCGTAACTGGCGGTACAATCGAACAGGAAGTGATCCTACAAAGTCAAAAAGGAGGAACAAAATATTCGAGAAATTCGAGAATTTGAAAATTTATCTTTACTCGAATTTAATTAATTTCGTATTGGACAGACGCGAATGATCGACACGGGAATGTTCTACGCACAAAGTCAAGTGAAAAGATAAAATTTTTTTTTTTGAGAAAACAAGCTTTGAAGATGTTTCGTTCGAAAAAATTGCCCTGGTACACGTGTAGTTGATGAATTTTTCTCGAAAATCGAAAGATCTCAATTCCATTCTTTATTTTCATTTTTCATACACATTTTTTTTTTTCACGCAGAATCACGTTGTACTCGGTTGTGCCCACTAGTTAGAGGACACCTTGTATATCGGTTACATGCAACGACGTACTCGCATCGAATTTCCAACTTAAACGTTAAATGTTCTTCAATGCAACGCTCACGTTTTACACAGAAGAATTCGAAAATGCGAAAAATTTAAAATCTGGAACTGATTCACTCTAGTTACTAATATATTCACGCTAAAATCCTTCGTGGTTTCTTTTAAAAATTTCATCACATTTGCGTCTCTCGTTGTACGTATTATACATTATACATTAATACGTTATTATACATTAATTTATACATTTATAATTTATTATTTATACATTATATATTATTTCATTTTTTTTTTTTTTTAGAATACGTCAAATCAAAAAGCCAAAAAGAGATTTTCCTCGTAGACGAAGTGGAGGAGATGCAAGTGCCACAAATTCCGGACGAGTAACGGCATCGTTTCGAGCGAATGCAAAGGTTGCCCGTCTAGTATTTCCGGTCTTCTCTCGTTCGTCTTTCCTTCCCCCCCCCCCTCCCCTTTTTTTACGACGTTATAAAATAACGGATTGGCTCTGTAATTACGTCGGAACATAATCGGACATGTAACGTCTTGAAATTCAACGTACTGTGTTAATTGCAATTAGCGAACTCAGTTTGTTTTAATTGTATCGGCTCAGACTTGATTCGTGTAAAAACGTCAATTAGACGAACGAAATTTGTCCTCGTTGCCTAAACTTTGTACCACACACCGCGGTAGCTAGCCTGTTACGAGGCGGAAGCTGAAGCTCGCTGCTTCCGGTTCGCGTCTCTTTTCATTTCCTTTCTGGTCACATATCTTCCACCGTGACTTCTTACCAAAACATTTTTACTCACCCATTAGTCAGACTATTCTCAGAGATTACATTTCCTTCGGTCAAACAAGCTTATGAATTTCTCGAATTCATTCGACTCGCCTAATTACATTGTACTTATAATATAATTTTTATATTTCGAAGATTTAAAAAAATCCGCGAATAAAAAAAATGAAATTCGCAATAAAAGTTTCCACATTGCGAAGACATTTGTATCCAGAGAACGTAAATAATATATAAAATGCTTTTTTTATGTACGCCGAAACGTAATTAATAATCTGTGCATGCTCCGTCGCAAAGACTCGTCATGTGTATCATATACATACGTCGAATCCGGTACTTCACGATGCTTTTACATTTTACAGTTTGTCGGGGCAGTGACGCACAATCGACGACGGCTTTACGTTGCTTCGAGCGATTCCGGACTCTCGGAAGCCACATGGCGATTTTCGCACGCAAGATACAATTACGTACTCTTCGTTATTTAACGAGAATGTACTTGCTACGATAAGAGCAGTTTTGTAGATTCGAACGCGCCGTACAATTAAAAAAGTTTGTGCACCACTGAAGTATGACTCACGTTTGTCGGGCTCTCCACCCCCCCCCCCTCTTTCTTCTTCGCGTTTCAGTGTTTTCATTCTCGCTTTATTTTTTCGCTATTTACGTCGCTTGTATCCATTACTTTCAGGCATCTCCACCAGACACCCACTTTCAACGGACGAAAAGTATCACCAGGCTAGGGAACAAAGAAAGTTTGTGCGCATTTCACAAAGCAGGGAACGGTTAAGAAGACACTCGCGGAAAGCTTCATCAGCACTTGAAACACCATTGTGACACGCTGCTTCCTGGAATTTCGTTATTGTTTCAGAGGAAATCAGCACTATTTATGCTTTCAAAAGGAATTAGCCTTCGAGTGTCTTACAAAGAAACTGTATACCCACGCATTTTTTTTTTTTTTTTTTTCTAGAAACGTCAAGAAAGTCGAATACATCAAAGTACGTACTTCCCTCATGAAAAGTGGTACTCAATTTATTTTTGAAAGTTTGTGCTTGCTTCCAATTTTTTCAGAATTACATTAGTATAAACGAATATGACGAATGATAAGAAGAAGAAGAAGAATCGGAGAAAAATTGCAAATTTGAAAGGAGGAGAACGCGCAGATAAGCGTACGTCAGTGGCTCCAAGAGAGCGTTTCGAGGGAGCGTTCCAACGGTGGGTCAGCATCGACAAGGCTGTGTATAGGTCCTTATATGGTAGCCAGTCGTATGGTTGTATATAGAGAGAGCTCGAAAGAGGCTGAATACGCAACTGTGGAACACATTCGTGTCCTTTACGTATCCGCTTGTTAAATATTTCTCCTCTCCCTTATCCTCTCTCGATACACGTGTAGGAGGTATTGCATCGAGTGCACGCATACTGAAACAACACCCGCTGGACTGTATTACGCGTAACGGTAACAAAACGAAGAGGGATTGCTTCGGCTGTGCCAGCCGTAATAAAACTAACCTTCCTAAGACCAATTTTTCCTTCGTTCCTCAACGTATAATTTTACGAAACAAAAGCAGCTTATAAAACGTAGTTCTATTCAATGTTCGATGCCGTACGCGATTTCGCGGCACGTTACAGCGTTAAGTCGGTCGATTTCACGAAAGTCAAGAAAGCAACGGTGGTTCTCGGACGACTCTGAAAGATGTAATATCTCATTGAATTATATCACGACACGACCAAGAGGAGCAAGAGAAGAAGAAACTAAAAAAAAGAACAGGGTCTCGGTGTCCGAAGAGAAATCACGGTGTAGATCCTGCTCGATCTCGTGAGCCGCGAGAAGAAAAGAGGTCTTGCTGCAAGTTAATAAGGAAACTAGGTTGCTCGCACCGACGCGCTAGCCGGTTTGCAGGACGCGTCGGTGTACAACACACCACGCTTTCGTGCCATGCTCATCGCGAGATTGAACACGTCATACGAGATTGAACAAGTTTGAGATCTCTCCGAGGAAGAGAGACACTAGCGAAAATTTTCAATATTCGAATTCAAATAGTTTTTTATACATTGAACGTTTACACCTGTTATACATATGTATATAATTTAGTTAAGAAGATACGCGTTGTTCCTAACTTCCACTGTAAGCCGTGTGCGTCCGAGCGTGCCCGGTAAGATCGATAAGATCGGTTAAATCGTTCAAAGGTTTCTGGCCGGACATTGTCGTGGGTTCTCGGTAAAGAGAGAGATCTTACGGCTGACGGCTAACGAATTCGCGCGGCCTGCCAATTAACTTGGGTAATCGCGTTTAATGGAGGACCCTCACACAGTGGCGTATGCAGCGGTTCGTTTCCGAGCGGGCCCGCGTAGCGATTGCATCGATTTAACCTCTTGAGCTGGAATAACGTGCCACGCACGTCGAGAATTTTTTGTCCCAAAATCGCAACATTTTCTCAGTTTTAAGTATATTTAAGTATAACCCAGGCGAAACAAATAATAAATTTATTACTTCTTAGTAATTTCTATCCAGTGATATCCTGATGAATTCAAAAAGAAGACGAATTATTGCATACGGTTTGGTCACTCGTTATGGTCCGCGAACCAGTTACTAATGCAAGAGGTTAACCTCTTGCGCTGGAATAACGTGTCACGCACGTCGAGAACTTTTTTGTGCCAAAATCGCAACATTTCCTGAGTTTTAAGTACATTTAAGTATAACCCAGGCGAAACAAATAATAAATTTATTACTTCTTCGTAATTTCTATCCAGTGATATCCCGATGAATTTAAAAAGAAGACGAATTATTGTATACGGTTTGGTCACTCGTTATGGTCCGCAATCAGTTGCCAGCGCAAGTGGTTAATACGGTGGTGGTGGTGGTGGAGGTGGACTGGCGCACACGCTCGGCCACCTACGTGTACCCACCATTATCGTATACCCACGTAAAAGCGTGCAACGGCGGCTAGAAAATGCGTTTTGCTTGCGATGATTCCGTGTTGCGCTCGCGCTCCGGGCGAACGTGATACAAACGCCNCTCTCTCTCTCTCTCTCTCTCTCTCTCTCTCTCTCTCTCTCTCTCTCTCTCTCTCTCTCTCTCTCTCTCTCTCTCTCGCTTCTTCTCTCCCTCTCTCTTTCGTGCAACCGTGACGGCTAACGAACCCTGGACGCGCGCGTATCGTATCGAGCGGTGGCGCGTACGCTCAGGGACGTATTACGTGTTACCAGGCAGCTTGTCCTCAACGCGAGCGTGGAAACGCGCCACACTTTTTTTGCTTTCACGTTGTGCAAAACGAACTTCGAAAATTGCCAATAGAGTAAAAAAAGTCCACGTAATAATATAGATTCACAGTATCGTCGAAATCTGTAAAATTGATTTTTACACCTGCTAAAAAAATGTAAATATCTTGCACGTACAAAGACACGTTTGCAAAGGAAAATAAGAAAAATATAGGTTTCAACAGGTCCCTGTAATTGATAAATTTTTAATTTGTAAAAATCGAATGTAAATGTGTAAATTTTATTCTCGCCTTCGAATCTCACTGAAAAAGGGAATTTCGAATTCGCGAACTCTCCGTAACGAAAGCCACGTCATGTACGCTTAATTATGCCGGTATTCCGACGTAGCTAACCGACGCGAAAGGGAATCCCCTTCAGCGGTCAAGATTTCGTAAACGAGTGCCAAGGCATACACCGTGAATGAATAGAGAGAGAAAGAGAGAGCTCTGAAGGGAGAACCCTTTGACCCAATCTCGTTGATTGCAGATTGCTTTCGTCATTGCGCTTCTGCACGACGAGCGACATCCTGGTTGCGGTACTTGACGAATATAAAAGGGGTGGAGAGTACCAGTCGCGTTCAGAAGTTCGTTAATTGTGTCACAATTGTGTGACAATCATCTGCCACTCGTTTGAACAAATTAACATCAATGACAAAATTGCAAAAGAATTATATATTACATAATGAAAAAAAAAAAAATTAAAATAACCTTAATCTTTTATTACTATTTAATCTTAATTACCTCGTTGTATCTGTATCTCTAAATTCACAATTGCAGCTGTGTTTTTTGGTGTAGCCCTAGGAGTTGACCTTGAGAGTGCTCAAAGAAGTCTTGGGATATTCCTCTTCCGGGAGGTGAATGAAATAGTGGTGCGCGCGCGAGCTCCCTTCGGGGTTGCCGCGCAAGTATATACGTGCCAGTTTTATACGTGCAGGGGTTGCACTCGGGGGAGCGGCCGACTAGTGGCAGACGGTTCCATCGATTGGCAATGCGGGAGGAGGGGTGTCGAAGAGTGGGGTATCTGAACTCTCCACAGCTATCTATATGTACTACATAACGTATCGACGACCTCGGGCTTTCATGGTCAATGGTAAAAAGGTAGTTTTTTTTTTTTTAATACGTCGCGTGGGACTCAACTCGACACTCGAGCGTTTGCAAATATGCATCGATCAAAAATCATTAAAAATTACGGACTCGAAACACGCTCGTTATCGGGAACGTGTTGCAAAAATTTAGAAACGAAATGGAGGCACGGAATTTGTCATCGCGTACTTTTATCTACCTCGAACGTACTAGCTTGCACAGAGTGGATAGATAGAAGTTATCGTCACGTTCGAAGAATAAAGCAACACGCTCGAGACACGCTCGCGACGAAAAATCCCGTCCGCCGATTTACAAATCGACAAACAGAATTCCCGTGAGTGCTGTTTCGCTTATTCGAAATATATCGCGCTCGCTCGCCTTGAAACGAGCCAACTTGTCCGCGACATGATAAGATGCAAATACCGCTTGGTTCTCCCTTATGAAGATACCACGCGTAAGCGTGTGTACATTTAATTAGCGTGGAATGCGACTCGCGTCGCAACGCAACGAATCCGCCAAGGCAGCTGTTCGATAAAGTACGTAAAACTCTCGTTACTTCAATTATCGTCGAGCCTCTCGAGCACACTCAGAGCGAAAGTGAAATTTTTTTCTGGAAATTTGTCGTCCGACGAGAGACGAGAAAGTGGATACTCGTAATTTACAAAGGGTGAATTGCAGAACGGTCGGCAGCCAAAAGAGCATTTGCGTGCCTGAAGCCCGGAGTGCATCTGTCAAAACCACGCCCTTGCATCCTATCCCATCATCTTGACGTAGGGGGGCCCACACAGGTTCAACGTTAAGTACTCGAGCTTCCTAAAATTCGTGTGACTCAACACGTATCTGGCTTATGACTTATTTAACCAAAGCGTAACCGAAGCACAAAAAGACGATTCTGATTCCGATTGTGTACGAAGTACAAAGGGCAGTAGATAATAATACAATGGAACGATATGTTTCTTATTCCGGGTGACTCGAGCGCTGCAAAAGAATAACAAATTACACGGAACACCGCGATAAAGTATATTATACGTCTGCGTGTAACAGAGGGAAAAGCACTGGGAGAATCTGTTTTGTTCGTATCAACGGGGGCGATTCGTACGCGTGGAGAATGCGTATGGAGATTTGTGACCACACCCCTTCATTTTCGATCGGTGAACAACAAAGACGATCGATATCCTCGAAAGTATGTTAATCCTCTGGCAATTTTCAAGTTCGAGAGCGGAGAGAACGATGTGAGCGATCCGGCAAAAAAAAAA